CTAAAAAATCAATATGAGAATCATAAGTTCAAGTCCAGCTCAAGCAACTTAGTGATTTAGTGAGATCCCGTCTAACAGTAACAAATTTTTAAAAGATTGGGGATATAGATCAGTGGGAAAGCCCTGTGTTCAATCCCCAACCCCATATGTTCATAAATATTTTTAAAAACAAGTAGTAATTAATGGAAAGGAATATCATTACTTTAAAAAAATAAATGGAAGCAAGGGCAAGTGAGTTTGAGGCCCAAACAAAGCCCGTGACTGAGATGCCTTTCTCTTCATGTTAAGTATGCAGTATCACAGCAAAATATTTTCCCTTCTCTATTAACCAACTAGAATAATCGATAACATTGTGATATATGGAAGAATCATCTGTGAAATCATAGAATCTCCTATTTGCCTCTTTGTACCTATCCAGGAAACAGCAACCTCTAGGGATGAACAGATATTATCCATTTGGAAGTTGCTCTTTATATTAAACGTGCCTGATCAATATACAGCCATCGCGTTCCACATGTACATGTCTTATTGGCATCATTCTTTGGGGGACTTTCTAACCTGATTCAGTTGGTTGCCTTTTTCAATATTCAATAACCTGTATGTCTGAGCTTTGGACCAAAATACATATTTCTTTCATCAGCTGTGTGCACTTAATTATTAACAAGGTTTTCCAATAACAACAATGAAAAACTTAAAATGGAAGAAGATAGGTCTCTTTACAGAAAATGCTCATACTTAGCTATACAGCAGCTTCTCAGAGCACAATGGCCTAGAGAGGAAAGAGTAAGGGGTTTAGAATGAAAAAGGTTTTACTCCAGCTCTACCACCTGGCTGCTTGTCTGAGTCTTGAGTCTCTTTGGTTTTTTTGGTTTGAAAATGAGAATAATGTATTCGCCATGCAGAGAATGAGAAAATATAATATATAAAGTTCCTATCACAGTACCTGAATGTAGTATATGATCAATAAGCAAAATAATTATTATGAATGCAGAGTCAGATGGATGACTTAAGAATTAAGTGGCATTCCTACTCTAAAATTCCAGGGCTCTCAGTTCTTTTTTGAGAACTGAAACAATTTCCCATTCACAATATGTTGAGTACTTACTGTGTGCAAAGCACTGTGCTTCAAGGAAAATTTTTAATAAATAAGGGGGAACTTGGTAATCTATTTTACACACTTGTAGAACTGTTCCTCAAGTTAAGTAGGTGGAAACCACCCAAAAGGCCCTACCAAAAGCAAGCAACAGTCTCTGCTCCCCAGAAGATAACTCTGCTCCCCAAAAGATAACTCTGAATTAGGTTTAATATAAGGCCTTTGTAAAAAGATAACACAGGAAACAGGAAAAGCAAAATTGGGAAAAAGAACTGCAGAACAGAGCCATCATCCCAGATCAGGGAAGCCATAGATGAGGCTGAAGACCTAAGCATTTGGGTATTTCTTTTCTGAGCTTAGGGACTGTATACTGACAGATGGTAAAACCACCACCACCATCCTCAAATACCCAAAAGGCAGGAACAGGGAGTCCACTGTAAACCTGGGAAAGAAGATGGAGGCAGGCAGGACAAACAAAGACTATGGTTTTGGTCACCCACACTTTCAGTCAATGTATTGATCTTCCCCCATATCCCAACATATTGCAACATACTATTTATAAATTGCCTCCATGTACTACTATATAGAAGTATATCATAAAAAACCTTCATAGAGTATAGTTATATACACTGAGAAGAACGAAGTTGATTTAAACAGAAGTTGAAATAGTTTATTCTTCACCTTATTCTTCTTGGGTAGCCACTTTGGAGACCAGTAGTAGAAAAAAGATGAACTGGCTGAGGTTGGAAAATGTGCTCTTGATATTCCATATAGATGTTTAAAAGACAGAAACCTCCTCAACAACTTTCCTTAGCTTTTCTTCAAAACAGCAGGCTGTCCCCATGTCAGTAAACAGAAACATTGCCAGATAGGAATATGATCCCTCAGTGCTCTCTCTCCAGCTCCCAGCCCTCTCCTGGGCTTTCCAACCACACATTTCCTCAAAGGCTACCAGAGACCATCATTCCTTGAGCCATAAGGTCTTCCACCCTTAGGGAGTGTGCACAACTCACTTGCAAAAGTATAGCTTACCATATGACAGCTCCTTTTAATTTGGAAAAAGGGAAGCATTTTGTTTAGAGCATATATTCTGAGAGAGTTGACCCTACATAACTGTCTTTAATGTAAATTGAGTACAGTTAACCCTAGGTCCATAGTGGACATTTTGTTCATTTTGTTGGTTGATTTTTGTGCTACATTGACTTAAAAATTATTTCCTCTAAAAACAAATTATTATTAGTGAGAAAAACACCATGTCTTATAGAATTTTCCTTATTAAACAGCATCAAATTTATTGTGGAACTTTTATATATTTTTATTACTGTAGAGAGAAACACAAATACTGTAAATCCATAGCTGATCTAGAAGAAATGGCCAAAGCAAAGCAGACTGGGAAGAGCATTTGTTCAGTTACCCCAACTCCTACATCTGACTGCACTTTGCAGCCAGGACCCTGCAGTACCCCAATGTATACAGTGTTCCCACAGAACTACTGAAACCACATTTGTGGTCTCAGTTTGGCAAGTTTTCCTTTGGGGGAAATAGTTGGTTTCTGCCTCTCCATATGAGCACTCACTTCCCAGCACATGCCTGGTGACCTGTGCTGTGAAGAACTCTGTATTGGGTAACGGAGTCTTTAAGAGATGCCTTATCTCCTTATGCACTCTCAGGGAATGGCAGAAGCCTGCTGCTCCTATCCGTTTAGCTAAGCCCAGTGATGAGAACATGGTTTTCACTGACAAGAGGTAATCTACCCAAAAAACCTGCAAAACCCAGCCAGTGTAGGATATGGGGGACATATTTATATATTTCAATTTTTGTGATATGTTCCTGTAATCCCAGCATTACGGAGCTGAGGAAGAAGGATCACTGTGAGTTCAAGGCCATCCTGGGCTACATAGTGAAACCCTGTCTCAAATAAACAAACGAACAATTAAATAAATGTTAATTCTACAGATTAGTAGTAATTAAGAAAAAGTCATATTACTGTATGCTTCATTTTATAATGAAAACACTTTATAATTATGATCATTTTGTTGTTTCTTTTAGTTCTTTTTACTTAGTTTTGTCAAGGTATAGTTGGTTGCCCAGGCTGTGCACCAGAGTTTTTCACAGACACCACTCTCACTCCCTGGCATCAGTTAGTTTTGAAGGCTCAGGGATGCTTCAGAAAGAAAAAAGGCGGACACCACAAAGACTTTCTGAAAGGCAAAATACCACGGCAGATTTTTTCACCTTATAAAATACTGACTCTTTGAAAGAACAATTTTGGGGGGGACCAGAATCAAACTCAAGCACCATGCTGCTGAGCTGTATCCCTGGTCCTAAAAGAGTAACTTTTGTATATTCATTTACAGTTGATTCCACTGTTTTTCTTGAGGTGAACTTTCTATTATATTTTTCCCAATTATGTAAGTGAGCTGATTATGCAAGAAAGAGGTAAGTATAGGAATTATTATAAAAGTAACATCTTTTACAGGTCTCAGCTCAGGTTGTTTATTGAGCAAATATGAACAGTTTTGGTCTGCCCAGAATTCAGGTTTATCATTCCTTGACTTCAATTAAATACTGAATCTTAAGCACTGTTACAAATTAGCATGGATCCTTAGTCCAGATGTGAAGGAAATTGTGTTTCACTTTAAAACAACAAGGTCACAGACAGTGGGAAATCAGAAAACACTAAAGCAAGAGAGTGAAAAGCCTCTTTAAAAAAAAAAAAGTCTATTAATCAGGAACGTGTGACGGGGCAGAAAGGCACAAGACCAAACTGTACTTTTGGCCTGACTGTCTGAGAGTTTGCCAAATCAATTATCAGTGGGAAACATTTCAGAGAGAAAGTTGAAACTTCAAAAAGACTGTTAAGTAATTCTAGACACTTACAATACTGTATGACATCCTAGTTATAAATAATTCTTATCCATTCTTAAATCCATCTTGAGCCTCTACTAAGTAAGTATTCCTTAACCTACTTATAGGATTTGCTATAGTGATGAAAGTAGGCTCTCATTTTAAAAATGAAAATGAAATGAATTTTCAAATGAAAACTGGAAGCCTTTTCCTAGATCACACTGTCCTTCTCTACCAGTTTCCTTTTAGCACTGCAGTTTGTAGGACATGTGAAATTAAAAGTTGAAATCTAAAGCAGCCGCCTGGGTTCAGAGCCCCCTCTGAGCACTTAGGATGCTCTTTACAGTCAATGATGCCTCAATTTCCTTTTCTATAATATTAGAATATAATACTTAAAGGATTTTTAAAGCATTTAGTGTCCAATCCCTTGGAAGATAGCTTGTGTTAACTATACCATAGGCCGGAGATGCAGGTTAGCCTCAGTTAGCCTCAGTCCAGGCCATCACTGGAACTTGTGTGACCTGGTGAACCTTTCAGAACACATGAATTTTTAGCCCCTCTGTTTCTCATAGCTCAGGGCATATTTTCACATAGCAGTGTATCACAAACATTTGGATTCCTCAGTCTTCTTTTCTCCTGGCCTCCAGGCACCAACCTAGCCTGCCAGGTATTTCTGGTTAATTCCAAGTCATCCCCTCCCTGTCTCTACAAAATGATCTGCATTTTTCTTCTCAGTTCTGGCTAGAAAACAGCGGCTCCCCTCAGTCTTCCTTTATCAGTGTGCTTCCTGGACTCTGGTACAGCTCTGCTTTCGGAATCCCTTCCTAATACATTTCTCAGTCTTTCTGAATTACAGTGGCATCGTCTGATAATTCCCATTGAAATGTGGAATTTGTCCAGCCCCATCCTGAGCTATCGGGCACAATTTCTACATAAAGATGCAAGCAAGAAGATGGGTGAACTGCGGTTCCAAAGGCTGGTGTGCGTGACCGGAGGAGGCCAACTCCATAACGGTTCATGTGGACAGGACAAGGGCGAGGGAAATAGGATAGTGACGCACCTGAATAAGTCCGCTAGAGCAAAGGCGATAAACTAAGGCTTGATGGCGTGCAGGGAATGAGAGGTTGGCACACACTGCACGCTGCTGAGCGAGGCAAAGAGAAGCAGCACCAAGGTATCTGACAATGTCACAGCCCCCTCCGGACGGGTCTCCCCTTCCGTGCGCAGCGCCCACTCCCGCAGCCCGCGATGACTGTCAGCGCATCTCTCCGCCCTGCCCCGCCCCTCCCCCGCGCCGCAGCTCCCTGCCCCCCGCGAACGCGGCTCCCCAGTGTCCTCTAGAACGCCCGCGCGCCTGTCGGGTTTCGAATCCCGGCTCCGACCCTCGGCTCCGGCGCGCGGTCCGGACCTCTCGCGGGCCAGCTTTTGGACCCGGCATCAATCATTAACGGGTCTGCCGGGCTGCGGCGGCCCCAGCAGGGGGATGGTACGGAACTCTAGACCGGGGCCAAGTCTGTCCCCCGCGGCGGCCGCGAAACCTTAGCCGCGAAGGCCCCCGCCCTTCCCGGTGCGCCCGTCTCTCCCGCCCGCCTGCCCGCCCGCGCCGCGGCTCGCACATCCCCGCCTCCCGCTCCGGGGGCGGCGGCGGAGGCACCGCACCGCGCGATGCCCAGTCACCGCAGCGCCGCCGCCGCAGTCCGCAGCGCGGGCGGCCGCGCGCCCGGAGCAGGGAGCTCGCCTAGCGGGCCGCTGAGCTGCGCGCTCCTGCCGGTAGGCGCGCTACTTAATGATTAATTAATTAATTTATTTATTTTAGGAACGGCTGCTCGGAGGCGCAGGTCCTGTCTCAAACCCGGAGCGACGCCCCCGGCGCGGGCACAAAGGCTCCGACGGCGGCCGGCGGGGGCTGCCCGGCGCGAAGGAACCGGCGCCAGAGGACTTCTGTGCGCGCTCTAGCCGAGCCCCGGGCACCATGCCGCGGCGCCTGCAGCCCCGGGGCGCGGGCACAAAGGGCACGACCGCGGCAGCCTCGGGGAACGCCCGGCACTCCCATCCCGCAGTCCCCGAGGTGCCCCCAGCGTCGGCCAAGCTGCTGCTACGTTGGGACGAGGTGCCCGACGACTTTGTGGAGTGCTTCATCCTGTCGGGCTACCGGCGCCTGCCCTGCACGGCGCAGGAGTGCCTGGCCTCGGTGCTGAAGCCTACCAACGAGACGCTCAACTTCTGGACTCACTTCATCCCGCTGCTACTGTTCCTGAGCAAGTTCTGCCGCCTGTTCTTCCTGAGCGGCAGCGATGTGCCCTTCCACCACCCGTGGCTCCTGCCACTGTGGTGCTACGCGTCCGGAGTGCTGCTGACCTTCGCCATGAGCTGCACGGCGCACGTGTTCAGCTGCCTCTCGCTGCGCCTGCGCGCCGCCTTCTTCTACTTGGACTATGCATCCATCAGCTACTACGGCTTCGGCAGCACGGTGGCCTACTACTACTACCTGCTGCCTGGCCTGAGCTTGCTGGACGCAAGAGTCATGACCCCATATGTGCAGCAGCGCCTGGGCTGGCACGTGGACTGCACGCACCTCATCGCTGCCTACCGTGCACTGGTGCTGCCGGTGGCCTTCGTGCTGGCTGTGGCCTGCACAGTGGCCTGCTGCAAGAGCCGCACTGATTGGTGCGCCTACCCGTTCGCCTTGCGCACCTTTGTCTTCATCATGCCCCTCAGCATGGCCTGCCCCATTATGCTGGAGAGCTGGCTCTTCGACCTGCGTGGCGAGAACCCCACGCTCTTTGTGCACTTCTATCGCCGCTACTTCTGGCTGGTGGTGGCTGCCTTCTTCAACGTGAGTAAGATCCCCGAGCGCATCCAACCAGGCCTCTTCGACATCATCGGTCACAGTCACCAGCTTTTCCACATCTTTACTTTCCTCAGCATCTACGACCAGGTGTACTACGTGGAGGAGGGTCTGCGCCAGTTCCTCCAGGCACCGCCCGCGGCGCCTACCTTCTCCGGCACTGTGGGCTACATGCTGCTGCTGGTGGTTTGCCTGGGCTTAGTCATCAGGAAGTTCCTCAACAACATTGAAGTCTGCAGTAAAAAGTGAGCCTCTACCATGGAAGAGGCTACTGGTTTGCCTATCTGTTTGTTTGGAGTTTCTGTTGTTGCTATTGTTGGTTTGTTTTCAAGTTTTGTTGTGTTTCCTTCTTTGCTCGAGGAGGATGCTGCAAAACCACAAGGGAAAGGTCCATTGCTACTAGGGAATCTCAGTTCGTTTGGGGGGGGGGGGAATCAACCGAGAGAGGGCCGCTGGTTCTTGCTCCTTGAAAAAAATCAGATAATGTCTCTGACATCCAGGGATTTTGCAAAGGCATAAATAAAATCCCAAACAACACTCCCAAGCAGTTTGATTTTCTACTTGTTTCTGTGTCAGCAGTAATAACAAGTAGCCCTTGTGAGGTCAGGTATGCAGTAAAGAAGATAAATACTCAGAAATTCCTGGATACTTCCATTTCAGTCAAGAATGCCTGAGTTTGTCAGAAGAATGGAGCTTTGTAGGAAACAGGTGCAAAGACACAAACCCAGGGCTTAACCTGCTAGATTCTGCATGGAATGTGAACACGAGTTAATTATTCCAAAATGTTTCTTACATGTTATTTAAATAGTAATATATGATGATTTTTCATAATTTATAAAAGCCTGTGATATGCACTGAATTTTCTTTGTCCATAGTTTTGAATTTTGCAGCCTTCTGCATTGCACACACTTGAACTGGACGTCAGGGCAAGCTGCTTAAAAGTTCTCTACTTGTTAAAAACAGTGTTTTCAGAAGGCCTATGAATCTCATGATACAACTGTGAATGACTTTTACCTTAGGGATTCTGGTTAGTATATTGGTGAAGAGCTCAAGTGGTTTGTATAGATCTCAGACTCCTATTTACTTTAATGTGTTCCATAAACTCATCCAATTCTTTGTTTTGTTTTTAATCTAATTCTTTCCTTCTCTACTAAAATTGCCACTGGAATAAATGTGCCTTTTGAAGCAATGCCCAAATGACTGACCTCATACAATTTCTTGCATAGAAGAACAGCAGAAATGAGCTCTTCTTATTTTACTGCAAATCAGGATGGAAAGTGGGGTTGGTTTTAAGTTTTTGATAAGACCAGAAGTAGCTTACTGGGATGTGCGTGGTGTTGGACTTCTCTACCAGGACAGGGAGCCAACTCAGAATTATGGCTGTGGCTCCTAATGCAGCCATAGGGGAGGGTGAAAGAACACTGGTGCCATCCATCTTTGCTTAAAACTTAAAATATAACATTCAGGAGTAAACAAGGCAGTTAATATTGTAAAAACAGAAGCATATTAACATTATACAGAAGCATAGTAACTGAAATTTATGAATTAAATAAGATTATGAATAGCCAGTTAAACACAGAATTCTTATTTGGGTCAATATTATGGAAGTGATTGGCAGTCACATGAATCTGTGAAAAATTAGCAAAGACACCCCAAGATACTTCATTATTTTTGTGGTCAAGGTCTGGTTATATAGTCCAGGTTGGCTTTTAACTCTATATGAAGCCCAGGTTGGGCTTGAATTTATAATCTTCATGCCTCCACTTCCCAAATGCTGGTAGTAAAGGTGGAATAAGCCCGCCTCCCAAGATGCTTTCTAGTCACCACATGGGCCAGCTTTACTTAGACATGTCTTATAAATGCTAGCCTATAATTGAGGCAGAAACTCTTTATGAACACAAACCTCTGAGGTAGCGCATTTAAATATCACACTTAGTAAATTGGTAGTAAGCCCAAAAAAAGTTCATAAATGGGAAGTATTGACTGAGGACATAATTTTGATCGAGCACATAAAGTGAATGAATACTTAGCACTGGTAAAAGATGGCTCTTTTTTTTTTTCTTATAGTTTTAATCAGTACTGTATTTGTAAACAGAGAAGCTTGGCACAATTCCCTGGAGGAACCAGTATCAGCATGTGTGCTAATTTGCACACAAGTTAAATTTATGTACATCTGTATTTAATTTAGGACCAGGTAATAGGATCATAAATACACTTTGTACAATTCCTGATGAGTGTCAGTGTCTCCTCCTTCAAGGAGATTCCTGTCAGGTTGCAGGGGCTGTTAATTTGTGCTCACCACACAAGTTGCTCTTCAGCTGTAACTTGACCCAGTACATGTGTTTAAGGACAGTTGTGAAATCAGGATATCTCCACTTGGAGACTTACTTGCATGGTCATTGTTATGTCTTCTAGATCCCCAAAGAATGTTGGTTCAGAAGCTAGGGAAACTGAAAAATATTTTGCATCTTTCTTGTCAAATGGAACCTCCCTTTCAGAAGGAACTTTCCAGAAGGGGACTTCCAAAAAAGACTAATGGGTTTAAGAATAAGAACTAAATCCTAGCATTTGTCACTTTAAATTTTTATTGGAAACCTTCTGGGTCCACAAACAGAATTCTCTTCTAGCCCTGTCTTTGTCCTTAAGCAGAGGCCACTCAAGGATAAAATTATACCCATATCATTTTCAAGTGATTATGATACATGAGCCAGTGAGATGACACACTTTTCCCTGGGAAGGTTTATCGACCCAGGGCGTTCCACAGAGAATGGGGACTCACTTTCTTATTCCATTTACCTTTTTCTTCCTCCCCTTTTCCTTTCCCTTAGATATTATAAACTGCATATAGCATTGACAAGAAGACATTCTAGATGAAAACAGTGGCTTGACTTTATTTTATGTCTGCAAACAAGTAGTGCACCTACTATAATCATGAATGACTTGTTTAACTTGATAAACTAGTTGTTAAACTATATCAGAGTTTTGTCAAGATAGACAATACCATTTTAGAAATGGTCATTTACTATCTGCACATTTATATAGAACCATGTAGATGTTTTAAACATTTTAGGGATAATATCACAATCAGAGTAAAATATCTTTGAAAATTTTTTTCACATTCTCCATTTTGTCACATCTATTAAAATTTGGCTTGCCTTTATTATGTTCAACTATTTGAAATTTAGGACAACTTATAAATAAGAATTCTCTTCATTATCTTTGAACAATCTATTTCAGCAGTAGTGTTGAAGCGTATTATGTAATGCATTTTATTTTTACTTGTTAGTCGTGATCTAGAAGACATCCCAAGGAGCAGCACCATTGAATGGTGGCTGGGAAATGTGAGTGCTTGACTGCAATGCCTGTTACCCTGTGGGTTAGTCCCTGAGGCTGACTCAGGCTAAGCTGGGTGGTTAAAGGGGTTTCTTTCTTTCCTGTACTCTTTGCAGGTCAGTTGAAGAGGGTGACCTTCCCAAAGAGATGACATAAGAGCTCTTTGGTCATGTCATTACTGGCTTATAAAAATAAATGAAGCTCTTTTCCATTGGCCACATACTTTCTATAAATAGCCAGGAAAGAGTATGGAGCTAGAACACTGGCCAGAGTGGCCTTCACATTTCCATTCTTAAAGATTGCCTGTAAGTTCTTATAGTCAAAAAACCATTGAGCCTCATCCATCATGGTACTTTATAGGAACCATTTCTAAGAATGTAAAATTTGAGGAAGGGACGTGATTGTTATCATTGCTTTTTCTTGATGTGGTGCTGAATTGGAAGATTAATAGCAATAATAGAGAAGTTTTTCTTCAAATCTCGTAACTTTAATCTGCACAAAGCTGAATTAGGGGACAGGTATGGCAGGAGTTAATGTTGGTCCAAGGTGACAGACTTAAATTTTCCGATTGTCATTATAATGTGGGGACAAAGACCAGGGATATAACTCAGGAGCTTGGCACCTGCTTGGCAAGCACAAGGTCCTGAGTTCAATTCCTGGTGCCAAAATAATAATAATAATAATGTGGGGACAATCGTCTGCTCAATTGTGAGCAACTGTGAGTGTGTACAACTATAATACCTGGCCAAGCCCCAGACCCTTATTAGACACATCATATGTGTGTATGATATATGAATATATATATATACATATTACTTTAATTGACTAATTTTTAAATAGAGCAAAGAGATGGCTTTTTTTTAAAGACAGGGTCTCACTCTATAGTTCACACTGGCCTTGAATTCATTATGTACCACAGACTGGCCTCAAACTCATGGTGATCTTCTTGCCTAAGGCTCCTGAGTGCTGGGATTACAGGCATCTGCCACCATGCCCAGTGAGATGGCTATCTTTGAAATTAGATTATAAATCTTATTAAACATGTTATCAGCCACTTAAATGGTTTTTATCATCTTGTTCATCTGTTGAGGTTTCATACTGCTCACTTCACTGTCAGTCTTCTTGAGTCAGCATTCATCCATTCATTTGTGTAATCCCTTTAGTGATCACTGAGCACCTACTAGGTGTAAGACCTTTGGGCAAGGATCTGTCTGTCCATACTGTTGCAGCCCTTACTTTTTGCTTTTTGGTGGAACAGAGAAGATTGTGTTTTTTCTCATACCTATTATCATAAAAGCAGTGCACAGAATCTTATTTCAATCAACATGCTAATTTATCTGCAATTTCTTTTCTATTCCTGACTGCTCCTGGGTCTATGGTTAAAAATAACTTGAAATTGTAAAGTACTACAAGTCAAGTAGAGGGTTGGTGGAAATATGTACAGAACTAGAAACGTTTATCATTAATAAAAATATTAATGACAATAATTATTGGGAGGTTATTAGTAGTTGTATCATTATGAAATTTGGTTTATTTAAAGTACCTAAATTGGGATATCATTAAGTGAATTCTACAGATAATATAGTTTTAAAACCCAAACACACAAATTTAAATGCTTAAATCTCCAGAATTAAAACTAAGTCTAATGTGCTAGCTTTTTTTCCTCTTTAAATTTTTTGTGTGGTAACTTACAGAGCATATCTGAAGAAAATAAATCTGCAGAAAGTCACTTTTAAAAAAGTATCAAATGTTTAAAAAAAAGAGGGCATGGGAAAAGAAGAACAAAAAGAACTGGATTCAAACAGCAGCCTGGGCAGCAAGTTCAACAGTGTTCAGTTTTTAGGAGTTTTAAATTTTGTCCCTAGAAAAGCATATGAATCCCCAGGCTCTTGGTGTTTAAACAGGTAGGCAAGGAATTCTATTTGGCTTATCTTGTGGCTTTTAACCTGATCACGGGTGCCTGAGTATATTTTGAGTAGTGCATTTATCCCCTGGCTTAATGTCCCTAATTTGCTTCCTTAAAATTAGGGCATAGGTCAAAAAGAAATTAGCAGATAGCACCAGTCAATTGTAGAGCATGCTTTGAATCATTCTCATGAAGGAATGCCAATATTCACCGACATAAACTGCTTGGCAAAAAGTTAAAGAGCCTAGACACACTGGGAAAGGAAGCATTCGGTAGATGAAGCTGAACACTGCTGCATTCCCTTGTGAGAGGCTACATGCTTTTCTACTGAAAACTGACTTCTTCAATATTATGAATAATTATTTCCTAGTTATGAAAATGAGTATCAGTTCTTGTCACCATTTCAAAAAACTAACACAAATTTCTCTTGTCCTTTCAAAAAGAACAAAGGTATTGCATTTTTGGATTGCAAATTTCTAACCAGTATATAGGCTTTTTTGCTTTAGAACAGCTTCTTAAGAGTCTGAGCAAGTTGCAGAATTAGTGTTTATTTATAGGTCAAGAGCCAAAAATGCTCACTTAGCTGTTAATTGTGGCAGGATGTGACTTTTCTGAGCCCTAAACAAACACCTGCCTGCAACAAAATGCTTACTTATTTGCTCTTTAACTCTGGGAAAGCAGCCTTTACTTGGAGCTTTTTAAATTGTCCCCAGTGCACTGTTCCTCTGAGTGTGATTCAGGAGCTTTATTGCGTTTGGTTCTCAACGTCTGAAACCTATTCCAAACATAGCATTTCTCAAAAAAAATTTCTTGAGTGTGCACAATTATTTTTGATTGTATAAAAGTGGCAGGCCACCTTTCTCATGCCTTAAGCTCCACCCAAAATATGCAATAAGCACTCAAGGCTGAGGGCAAGATCTGCAGTTGGTTATTTAGCCATATGGCGAAAATGGCCCTGCTTCTCATGGTTTACTCTAAACCCTCATTTCTGGATAAAATATGGGCCATACTGATTTCATTTCTTCTTTTGGTTCCATCTCTAATTAGAAAGGATAATGTTTTTAATATGTGGACGCCAAAAAAAGAAAGCTCATGGGAAATTTTTTAAAGAAGTATCTTAATTTTGTATTCTACAAGTTTGTAATAGCAATTTGTTTGTTAACAAAACAAAACAGGCCTTAGCACATGGGTGAGAACCAGTGCTTTTTGGAAAGCCTCATCTCTATCCTTGGGGGTTTGACTGACCTTGAGCTCTTACCTAAATGATAAAAGGCCTTGTAAGTCTTTTAAAAATGTAAATACTATATAGTTTAAAGAAGGGTAAAAACCATTTTTTAAAAAGAAGAAAACATGTCAGATAGGTTCTAGGTATGTAATGAGGCTAAATTTTAAGGTCGTTAAAAGTTTTTGGATAGAAACTTTATTACATTGCCTCTTCAAGGAAGTTGTAGCACAAAAGGTCTACTTTTCCACGTGGTTGGTTTTCATTTCTGGAGGCTCTGAGCAAAATTATTTTAACCAAGCACCTGGGAATCCAGACAATAAACAGATGAGTTGTATTTCACTCGGAGAGGGTTGCGACCACAATGAATGACAGCCACTAAGAAATGCACAGCCTTAGAATTTGTCCCTCCTTTCTTCGAAATGGACGAAACCCCAGGCCAATGCTATACAGACCAGACAGAGCTTTCTGTGTTCCGGGGCTAGGGAAAGATTCTGTGGCCACTTTTCCTCTGCACTAAGCATGTGGTAGCTCTTAACTTCCTCCACATCAGCCTTCTCAAAGACCATGTCCGCCACCCTTGAAGCCTTCACTTCCCACATATCCAGCGTTGAGACAAAAGATCCCTAAAAGGATTCAGTATGTAATTAAGCCTTCTCCACCCATCTGCCTTATGAGATACATCTATTTCTAACCTAAGGATTTAAATTAAATAACTGTACTCAAATTGCAAGCATGTGTAACCAGCAAGTCCCCTTCTGAAGTAAAGGGCATTACTTGAAGGGTCATCCTCATGTTTTTCCTCAGGTCAGAAGCAGAGGGAGGATTTAACAGTGATCAAATAGAGAAACCTCGTGTCTGTTGTTCTGTTTCAGTTCATTTAATGTTGATAATGGGAGGAGGAGGGAGTAAAGAGTTATACAGGCAAAAGGAAAGAATTTCTACCACTGCTTGCTAAATTTATTATTATCATGCCACCCTGACGCCAGCCCCTCATCTACATCCTAAAGAGCTACCTTATATACCTACAGAGGGCTTCTCAGGAGATGTGACTTTCCACACCTGGGCAGTAGTGTGGCTTCAGATCAACGGTGTATTCCAAAAGAGGAGCGTTACTTAATAATTTCAGACTTCAAGATGAATGAAGCAAAACAACCTGTAAAAATAGATATAATTTTGGTCAGTTCTGTGCATGTAGCTAAACAAATTGTGACTGATTTCTGTTGTATAGTTTGTGGTGATCTCAGTTTTCCAACACTCTGTTCCGCCTGTACAGTTGTCTTGAAAATGAAATTCTGTATGATAATGTAACTATGCATTTTTTGCGGAAAAACAAACATATGAATTAAGAATAAATTATTTGTAACCACAGTGTTTAAGCCTTGTAGTTGTATGGCTCTGTGTACATTCTGGAGATATTATTCAGCAGACAAATATTGTCATACTAACACATGATAAGAAAAAAAGTATTCTTAGCAAAATCAACAGGCGCAAAAGTAGAGTAAACCAGCCAGTGCCTACGAATACATGCCTCCTGTCCCAATTAGCTTGAGTACATTCTGTTGTCTACTACTGATCCCACATTGATTATGCCAGGTCAATAGAGAGAGATGGTTTCTAAATGCTGGATTCTCTAAACCGCTGGCAAATAGGGTACTAGCCCTCTGCTTTCTCACTCCTTTACTTTCCTTGGCAAGACAAGCAGGTTCTGGATCAGGCAGCTTCTTCAAAGAGTTTAGCTGTATTTAAAACCAAAAAATTAATATTAGAAAGATAAATACTGGAAGCTTTCTCTCTTAATGGTAACCTAAAATGAATAAGAGAAAATACAACATGGGTACTTATACATCAAATAAAAGAATCTAAAATAACAAATCCTATAAATAATAAGTGGTATTTCCATGCATCAAGATAGTTTATAAAGTGTTCATGTCAATATTAGCCCTTAATATCAAAAACTCCATTACATCTAAAAAATGTACATAATTCTAATATTGTGGTCATGAGTAAGTCAGGATTTCAGAAGTAGCTTGTGTTTCTTTTTCTCTGGTCAAAAGTGCTTATCCCTGTGAAGTGACCCCCCACTTCCATTAAAAGTACCCTTGATTTCCTTTGAGGAAGGATCCTTCCCCCTACATTTTGCTGGGACTTCTCTACCGGGCACGTGACCCAAGGTAGACCTGCAAGCAGAGATTCTTTCTGTTCTGTGTTTTCCATTATTCACCTGCCCAGGTCTTGATGCAGTTCTGCAAGCTAAGCCATAAGCTTCCCAATAATTTCTTTTCCCTTTGATTTTTCCCCATTGGTAAGTTACCTAGAGAGTTTTTATTTTCTGTAATTAAGGAATATTGACAGAAGACTTCCAGTTTCCAGTGTGGCACATGAGACATTTGGAAGTTGTCACTTTAAATAGTAAGTAAAAAACTAACAACAAGCTGAACTGAGAAACCAACATATGTGGTAAAAATGAGATCATAGAGCACAGAAGTGAACTGTGCCCTCAAATTGGAGAAACGGACAGGGAGATACAGAGAAGTATAACTTACCAGAGCAGGAACTCAAGAAAAGAAATCTTTGCAGGAATCAGTAAGTTTATTTTACTTTCCTCTGGAACACATGTTTAGCTTTCAACAAAAATTACAAGGTTTGCTAAAAGTCAAAAAGAGCATTACAACCACTTAAAACCTTATGCTAAAGGTTCTAATGGGAAAAGCAGACAACATGCTGTAACAGAGAGATAATTACAGAGAGGCAGAAATTTTGAGAAGCAAATACAAATGCAAACACTTCCAGAACTGAAAATATGAAGAGGAAAAAACACTGGGCAAAAACTAGAGATATTGAAGAACTATGGAACAATTACAGAAAGTGTAACATATGCACAAAAGAATATCAGAAGAAGAGCAGAGAATGGAACATAAGAATAGAAAGAGAAGAACATTCTACACATAGACACGACATGACTTATGAATCATTTCTAAATTACTTTTTTCTCTCTGAAGTCCACTATCAGTTTCTGACCTCCAAATTTCTTTCTTAAAAGTGAAGAAATTTCTAAAAGAAGGTAGAGATTTGAGAAACTTATTTGCAACTTATAAATATTTTTAAAACAATAGGATTAATAAGAGAGATTCCATATCCTAATGGCTTGCATAATTTTCATTCTTCCTATCTTGATTCTCTACAGCTATAAAAATACATGTGGAAAACTGAAACATGGAGAGAAGTACTGTAAACATTCATCAATACAAAATACAGTTCTCTAAGAGCTATATTATTACTGTAGAATGACCTGGAAAATCCTACTGGATTTTACTCTAGCTCTTCTTAACTCAGTGATTGACCATATTAGTTCATCCTTATCCCACTGTAAATCTGTTATAAATATCCGTTTAGAGTTCTTTCATATTATTGTTTTTGTTCACAGAAATGTTATAAAGTACAAAATAAATGGGTTTAGGAAAAGAAATATCTCAACTGGCCATGGTGGCACCTGCTTATTATCCTAGCCCTCTGGTAGGCTGAAGAAAAATTTAAAGCCTTCTAAAACTTTAAAAAGGAAGGAATCTGGGGTTCTGCCTCAGGGCAAAAGCCCTGGTGATTGTTTAATCCCCAGTATTGCCAAAAATGTGCTACAAGAATATCATTTTGATGTTCTATATTTCTTCTGTTGTTGCCCTTTGGTTTGGCTTTTTGTTATAATTTGATTTTTTTTTGTCTTTTTCTTTTTGTCAATCTTAACTCCTAAAGAAAGGGTCAAACATCATAAATGATAGCAGTTAAATCTTCCCACATCTCATTTTGATTTGCGGTGTTACTTATGTCTTGCCAAATGAAGTGCTCACTTTTGCAGCACCTGTACGTCTTGCCAAATGTAAATCTTATTAGCGTAGAGGTGCCAGTTTATTGCATAAACACATAAGGGATCCAGGACTGGTGGTGTAAATCATGGTGCCTCACCATGAAATCTAAAAGAAAAAGTTGTTTGTTCTATGCATCAGGAGGAGATCTATGCCTTCTCCACATTTCACTGGTTAATGGAATCATCCTAGCCCCAAGGCCATCATTGCTTTGTTGTGGGAGGAGATGCTTCCTGGTAGAATGAGTCATCCTGTGAGTCACTATGGTGAAGGATCTTCTTCTCTTCTTGGGCTTAATATGACAGTGCTTGTCCAGGTCATTTTTAAAACATAAACAATTATCTCCCCCTGCATATCCAATTCCATAAATGGCTTTTACAAAACATCTGCCAAGCCACAGCATGACTGGGCTCCTCCCACAAGTACACCTGACCATCCATAACCTCTCCCAAGAAATCCCAAAGAGGAAACAAGTGCCATCCTGAAAAGTAAGAGCCCAGGTGTTGAGGGACATTTTAGGCATGGTCCTTATGTTTGGTGCACTGTCCCTCCATCCCTGCAGGCAAGCTTATGAAGGGACAGCCTAAATGAAGTTTCTTACAATGAGGAAGGAAACAGCTGGGCCTCAAGTTGGAGATAGGACTCCACTGATCACACACACACACATATACACACACACTCAGAAATACTCCAGACACTGCAGAAGCATTCTGAGCATCCAGGGGAAATGGGGTGATCTCATGGCATGAGAGAGGTCACAGAGAGTAGATGTTGGCTGGTTGTCAGGCAAGGTAGCAGCACCAATCTAGTTGGGCTCTGTGACTTCAGACTTGCAACTGTCAGCTGGGGCACTTGGTGGTGGGGTGCATACAACTGGCCTAGGCTTTGCTGGGGTCACCTTGGTACTGAGCTCCTGCCTCCCTCTTACTTTTACCTTGCCTCTTGAGTTCATAGACTTGAACTGAGTTTGATTTCATACACCGTTATTTCCTAGATCTCTCCCCTTCGATGAGATTCTTTGCCCTGGGGACCTCCATTTCCTCAGCTATAACCCTATAACTGGACTGGAAATATTTCTTACTTAGCAGTAGTGTGAAGAGTCAAAGAATAAATACGATGTGGTTTCACTCAGTGCATGGCTCCCCTAACTGTTCAGTTTTAGTTTGCCCACACTGTATTAGCTGAAACTATCGTGATATTTTTAATTAGTACATGATTGCAGTATATAATGATCATATTAGTAGTGGGAAGTGATACATGTACATAATATAATCTTTAGTTATTTAATCCCCTTCTCAAATGCTTTATACACTCAATCTATGAGGTTCCTGGGAACCTGCATGCAGGCTAGGAAAAAAATAAAACTTGAATTAAGACTTTCTGTATCAGTGTTGTCCAATGGAACTATTGAGGTGGGTTCATATCCAATATTAGAAATCCAAGCAGCCAAATTGACAATTTTGGGATTTTAGTAACTGAGCTCAGGGACCACCCGCAAAGACCCCTGTTTCAGAGTCAGATCAAGTGGCCCCAAACTAGAGGGTTACAGAGTTTTTAAAGAAGAAAACCACAAAGCAAGACATCTTGTTGGGAACAATTCAGCTAGAACCTTTCATTAATTTTGGTTGGCACATGCATCCTGCTTCTTTGTTGAGCAGGTTAATTTTTTTGTGGGTGCAGCTTATTCTGCTTTTCTCATGGAACTTGTACCCTGAGTAATTTTTCACTCTTCTAGGTCAAATACAGGACACAAGATGGCATCAGTTATGCCAAGCTACAACAATATAACGCAACCTATGTATGTAAGTTTTAATTTTCTAATGGCCACATTAAAAAGGTAAACAGAATCAAGTGAATTAAGTTTAGTAATGTGCTTTATTTAACCCAGCATAACCGAAATATAATTTCAACATGTGGCACTACTCTGAAATTTCAAGAACTTTAATTGCCTGTCCATGTGCTGGACAGCACAATGCTAGAAACATTTTCCCTGAGATATGGCAAATTCCTTCCTATCTTTTGAATCTCAGCCTCTGATAGTAGCACCATCTTTGACTCTCTTCTCCATCCATCCACACAATGTTCCTGGGCTTCACTGTTTAATTTTCTGCATACTGTTTATCATTGTGGGAAATTAGCTTATTTATTGTTTTCCCCCCTATTGGAAACTAAATTCTAAGACTATGAATGGTCTCTCAGCACTTAGCTCTGTATCTAGCAGAGCTATAGACACTTAATATTTGATGAAAGCATGAACTAATACATGAACCAGTGCTTTAGTGGCTAGACATAGTAATCCTTGTTGATGAAAACTAGTTTGCCATAATTGACTCTTGGCTTCTAAAAATGAAAACTAGCAAGTGGAAAAGACAACCTTAGTATCTATATATGCCACATTACCCCAGGAACACCCAAAACTCAGTATATCAAAGAGTCTGCTTTCCCTTCTGTGTGTGCTTCTTGGGGACTTCTAGGAAGGTGGTCGGGTATTAAGCAGCAGAGAAAGAGTCT